TTGATTCAATTTTACAAAAACAAGGACTCAATTGATACGCCGAAAATGAAGAGGACCTATTTGAAATTCATGACCAAAATAGGGACCTACGGAGACATTAAACCTATTTTATTTAAGTAATATGTTTTATGAAGAAAATATAAGAACTCGGTATATAAAAGTTACAATTAATTTGTTTTTTTATAAAGGGTATGTAATGACCTCAACACTTATTTTTTCTATTAAGTTTAGTAATTTTAAAAATATAGTGTCAATATTTATTTTAAATTATTTGAATTCTAAAACATTATTAAACAATATTTAATTATAAGAAAAAAATCTTAAACCAGTTTTTAATAATCATAGTATGTCATTAATTATAATATATGAAAAACTGAATAAAAGTTTATATAAAAATATATAGATAGTGTTACCTGATGAGTAGATCCAATTCCTAAACCAAATAAGACGTGGCTGAGAATTAGCACCCAAACAGGTTTTGCAAAACCATTTAATTTAGCACTTGGGAAAAAGAACGCACCCGAGAGAAAGAATGCACCTCCGAAAATAAATGCATCCCCTGATATAATCGTACGCCGTCTCCCAGAAAGTCTACTGACAAATAAAAAAATGGATGGATCCATAATTTTATGAATGGCTAATGATTCATCTATTATTTTTCAAAGAATTAGGTGTATGCTTTCTGAAGCAATATTGTTTAAGCATTTCTGGGGTGAAACGTTATTTATAGTAATCATGTTATTAATCTTTAAACTATGAGGTGCCAGACATTTGGTTTGGCAAGAATGTTACTTATGATCATTTGCGTGTTTTCGGTTGTAAAGCTTTTGTTCATGTTCCAAAGGATGAAAAATTCAAGTTGGATGTGAAGACAAGACAATGCATCTTCATTGATTTTGGTAAGGACGAATTTGACTACAAGTTGTATAACACCGTTGAAAATAAAGTTGTTAGAAGCCATGATGTGCAATTCATGAAAGATCAGATCATTGAAGATATTGATAAGGTGGAGAATTCTACACCTAAGGAAGATGGTAATGTGGCTGATGTTGACCCAATTCGGTTGTCTATTAATGATTTGGATATTGATGTTCATGATGATGAACAACATGGAGATAATGATAATCAAAAGATTGAAGATAACTTGGATGTTCCTATTGATAATGTTGATGAAGAGGAACATGATGTGTCACAAGATGAGAGTCTTGGTGATGTACATGAGCTACCTGAAGCTCAACCCAGAAGATCTGACAGGCCAAAACAACCTTCTAAGAAGTACTCTACCAATGAGTATGTGATGTTGACTGATGAGGGAGAACCTGAATGTTATGAGGAGGCCATTGAAAGCAAAAGTGGTTGAATGCAATGCAGGATGAGATGAAATCTTTGCATGATAATCACACTTATGACTTGGTGAAGTTGTCTAAGGGTAAGAGAGCCTTAGAGAATAGGTGGATTTTCAGGGTGAAGCAAGAGAGCAATTCTACATCTACCAGATACAAAGCCAGGTTAGTGGTGAAAGGCTTCAGACAAAGAAAGGGTGTTGACTTCAATGAGATTTTCTCACCAGTGGTGAGGATTACATCCATCAGAATTGTGTTAAGTTTAGCTACTACTCTAGATTTAGAGGTTGAGCAGATATAACTTTCCTTCACGGTGATTTGGAGGAAGATATTTACATGAAGTAACCAGATGGTTTTCTTGTTGAAGGCAAGGAAGACTATGTGTGTAGGCTACGAAAAAGCCTATATGGTTTGAAACAAGCTCCGAGGCAGTGATATAAGAAGTTTGAGTCTGTTATGTGTGAGCAAGGCTACAAGAAGACTACTTCTGACCATTGTGTTTTTGTCAAAAAAAAATTTGAGAATGATTTCATTATACTATTGTTATATGTTGATGACATGCTTATTGTTGGGAAAGATGTTTCCAAAATTGACAGGTTGAAGAAGCAACTAGGCAAGTCATTTTCCATGAAAGACATGGGAGCAGCTAAGAAGATTCTTGGTATAAGTATCACTCGTGATAAAAAAGAGAAGAAACTTTGACTATCACAAGAGCACTACATTCAGAAGGTGTTGCAAAAATTCCAAATGGAAAATGCTAAAGTTGTAAGTATTCCTCTTGCTACTCATTTTAAGTAGAGTGTTAAACAAAGTCCTTCAAATGAATTTGAGAAGATAGATATGAGCAAAGTTCCTTATGCTTCTATGGTGGGTAGTTTGATGTATGTAATGGTATGTACAAGGCCTGATATTGCACATGCTGTTGGTATAGTTAGTAGATTTCTTCAATTCCAGGTAGAAAGCATTGAAATGTTGTGAAATGGATTTTGAGGTATCTTCGTGGTACTAGTGGTTTGAGACTTTGTTTTGGAGGTGATAAGCCTACTTTGGTGGGTTACTCAGATTCAGATATGGCTGGACACATTGATTCTAGAAAGTCCACTTCAAGCTATTTGATTCAATTGCAGGGGAGCCTTGGCTTGGCAATCAAAGTTGCAAAAGTGTGTAGCGTTGTCTACTATTAAGGCTAAATTCATTGCACTTACTGAAGCATGTAAGGAGTTGTTATGGGTGAAGAAATTCATGGAGGAGCTTGGTTTTGTGCAAGGTAAATACTTGTTGTATTGTGACAGTCAAAATGTGATTCATCTTGGTAAGAATCCAACTTTTCATTCTAAATCCAAACATATTGATGTGAGGTATCATTGGATACGTGATGTTTTGGATGCTAATAGGGATGACAACGGGTCGGGTCGGGTATGGATAGTGCCTACCCGCAACCCGATTCGATAAAAAAAATCCACCTGCTACCCGACCCGCTACCCGCACTGATACTTGCTTAAAAAATATCCGTGAATATTTTAAAACCCACGGATACCCATTGGATACCCACAAATATCTAAAAAAATATATTTTTATAAATTATTAAATATGAATTAATATTTAATTTTAATTAAATTTAACCTTATAAAATATAAATTAATGTTAATTTTATTTAAATTTAATTTAATAAAATATAAATTAAATATTTATTTTTATTTTTTGCGGGTAGCGGGTACGGATAGTATAATATCCGTACCCGACCCGTTTATAAGCGGGTATTAAAATACCCGCTACCCGCGAGTAGTAAATATCCGTGGGTACCAACTATCCATTGCGGATTTTATCCGCAGATATGCACGAGCTCGAATTTTTTTGCCATCCCTAGATGCTAAGTTGTTGGAATTGGCTAAAGTTCATACAGATGATAAGGGTGCTGATATGATGACCAAGGCATTGCCAAGAGGAAAGTTTGAAGTTCGTCGTGAGATCGCAGGTTTGGCGGATATCTCCACATAGTCGTGAGGGGGAGATTTGTTGGGTTGTTGGACTCCCTTCCTATGTGGAGAATAGGCCCAAATAATATGGACCATTATGTCTCACTAGGTTAAATTGAGATGGGTCAGATTAGTAGGACACATGAGAGTCATTTGAAGAGAGGCAAAAGCTAAGTGAGAGAAAAAGAAAGAGAGAAAGCCATTCCTGCATAACCCTGACCCTGCACTGGTGTTTTCGTCGCTGTGAAGTCCTTCACCGTTGGATCGAGCTGGTTTTTGGACAGTGGGTTCCAGACATATGGTTCTTCATTCTGATTGTTTGGATCGTCAATTGGAGGTCTAGTTTGGGAGAAATCAGTCCCGAACCAGTAGCCTTGTTTTGGAGAATTTTCATCTTCTTTGTTCTCATTTGTAAGCATTTGTACTTAATTAAATTGGCTTATTGAAAACACCATTTGGTGTTATTATTGGAGACTCTTCTGTATCCTATTATTGATCATAATGGATTTTTTCTTTGGTCTGGACGACTCGTGGTTTTTACTCTTGCATGGAAGGGTTTTCCATGTTAAAAATTGTTGGTGTCTCTTTATGGGGTTGAGTTAGGCTTAAAGTCCACTTCTAACATGGTATCAGAGCCCATGGTTTAGGTCTGGTGAACGGGGCTCAGACGAGTACGTCCCTCCATGATCAGGTGAAGCCTGATAGGTGGTCAGTGGCAAATAGCCAGATGAATCATGAGAGGTGGAGAGCATAGGTGGAAAACCATAGTCCTTTGTTTGAGGGAGGATTGTTGGGTACAAAAAAAGTTTCACATCAGATAAAATAAGATACCTCCATTGGTAAGAGGCCTTTTGGAGTGGTACCAAAAGCAAATCCGTGAGGGCTTGCCCAAAGTGGACAATATCTTACCAGTGTGGAGATCTATATGTATATGTGTGTGTCGAACCTCCCTACAAATTCTTCTTTCTCCTTCTATAAACCCTCGATATTCTACCACTGAAACACTGATACTCTTTATTCAAGATATAAATTTCTTTATGCACCAATGCAACCTCTAAAGATATCACATAATTGATAAAGATCAGTATGGAAGGAGTCCTAAGCAAAGAGTAGCAGGCAAAGGTAAGAAATATTCACAAAATATTTACTTTAGTCCCTGGCTTTGTCAAAAAATCATTCATTGTAATGCTTTTCCACTAGTTTTGCACGAAAAGCTTTAAAGAGAATATCATTTGTAAAATCAATGACTAAATTGAGAATTTTGTAAAATAATTACCAAAGCAATTGATGCTTACAAGTTACAAATTACAATATTGGAGACTAAAATGAGGATATATTCTCAATAAAACCAAGAAATAATGAACAAAGTTCCATGACTGGTAAAACCAACAGATAATGCCACTTATACTAGCTGACAGAAAAAAGTGGTACAAAACTCATCAATAATTTCTGTTGGGCTGTTGGAGATGCTAGACATCAGGACACATCTCCCATGCACTAATTGTCTTGGAATATTTTAGAAACCAGCATGGATATAGTCTTAGAATTTGAAATCAGAGAATAAACAGAAACTCCAGTGGCACAAGAAAAACCAGGGTCAAAGAACAAGCTATCAAATTTGGAAGAGACATACTTTATGCCCGTTCATAAAAAATAGGTAAAACTAAATAAAAATAATAGTCAACCTGTTCAAATTAATGAATTGGACTTCACCTGACATAGAAATATTGAAAACATCCATACATACATCAACAACAGAAGAACATGCGTACAGTCAATCTAATTCTGCTTATTACCATACCTATTTGTAGAAACCCCTCCTGAATTAGAAAGTTCCTGAGGAGGAACTACAACTGAGTACTGAAATGCAATCTGAATCGTAGGAACATCTGATTTAGTTCTGCCAAAATGAAGAAGCAACAGTAAACCTTAATCAGATTATCAAAACAGGAAATGCATCGGACAAAAGGCACAACTACCTTGTGACAGAAATAATACCAAGTTATAGAAGCTATATTATTTAATATAAAAATTAATTCAGCTACTCTTAGCTTCAAAAATTGTGTTTTGCATTCATACTCAACCTAACAACGATATATATTTGTCCTGTCTAAACTAAACCACGTAATCAAAGATGAAGCATTCGTTTTGTATGTAGAGTAAAGCTTATTTAGATATTTAAGGCAATTCACCGTAGTCCTAGGCCAAATATCTGGAGGTTTAGTCTTTTCCTCCTTCTGGCTTTTGCATGCCTATCATACTCTAGGATTTACTTGTTTAAGAGAAAACTAAAGTAAATCTCTTTACGCATTGATACTTCAATTTGTGTCATGTGTAGGATGAAGCATCCGATCTATGAAATACTAATACTTTTAGAATGACAATAATTTATAATTTTTTATTTTGACAATGCCTAACAAATGTGATTTTAATTTGAATCCGCACAATTGCAATTATATATTTATTATGTTTTAAGAATTTTTATACAATTTAAATGTACATTTATCACGAATTGTATCATGTTATTTTCAAAAAGAGCATATCATTGTATTCAATACACATACCATATTTGTGCATCATATAACCTTATTAACAATTTTGTCATTCTGATTGTTGGAATTAAGGAATTATAAGTATAAAGAGAGGAAGAAAGATAAAATATAATGAAATGCTGATGGTATCAAGTGAGATGTATTACAATGTATAGGCGTTTAATGTACTAGAGACATTAATTCTATATGATAACCTAAGTTATGGTAACATGAAAAATAAAACATATAATTTAAGAGTTGAGTCAGTGGAATAAAGGGATTAAAAAGATTCTCTGGGATATAAGCGGCCAAGAGCATCTTATGGAAAGCAAAGGCAGGTTGATGTCTCTAGCAAAGTCAGGAGACCAAATCCACTTTTAGTAAAGCTGAGAGACCAAACTGATTTCCATGAGAAAGCCACAGGCGAGGCTCATGTTTAGGAAAGTTGGGTCAAACTGATATCACTATGTTGCAGAGCGTGATTTGAGCCGAATTGCAAAATTGAGTCAAGGAAGCCACAGATTGTTGTGATATCACCTCAATTAGAAATAATGTTAAATTATAAGTACAAATCTCACGTTACAAATCAATATTACAGGATTGAGCGAGGCCGAAATTCATTTTCTGAGATGATATCAAAGTATATTCTAGTAAGATTTATTGATCTTGTTACGTCACTCACTGAGACAACTCACAAATATCTTGCTCATGCTTGATATGTCTAATCCGGCATGAGAGAGTGCTTTGAAGATCACACATTGGCTATATATATGATCAAACTATAGTATATAATGTCAAACCTTATCTTATAAGTCAAAAATTGTTCATTGTTACGAACATGTAGGTAAAGGCTGCACGAAAAAAGCAAATATGGAGAAAGAGGAGATTGGAACATAGAACCTCAGCCAGGTTCAATATTAAACCTTCACAACCTTTAAACAGATGCAAATAGGGTCTTGAACCAAATATAAATAATAAAATCTGACAATAAAATATCAACTAACTTAAAATTAAAACTATCTATATTTAATTTATCTCTTTCAAAATCAAACCAAATATTACTAAATCCAAAACTAATAAAATAAGATTTTAATGAATTTATAAAATTTAAGTTATAAGATTTTAATAAATCTCTAAAATTTAAGTTTATCCTAACAAGCTCGTGGTTTGTGAGGCTTTTCTGGGTGAATGAAGGAACCCTAAAATCAGTGCTAAATTTGTTGCACCTTGTTATTATATGAACAAGTAAGCCAATGACTTTTGCGTTGTTCTCGTGTGCATTTAGTTCCAGTATTAACACTGGAAACTATAAGAATTTTTAGTGTTTAGGGCCAAAATGTATAACTTTCTTATTAATTTAAGGTCATAATTTTAGATAGCTTTTGGGCATCACGTATTCAGTCGTAGGCTTCTTGTCTCGATACTTGTTGAATGAAATATGAAGTTTTATCCACCAAAGCTTCCTCAATAAGTTTATTCAGTGTCAGAGGGTTCCCATAAATCTTATCTTTTTTTTTCCTTTTGAATTTCTTTCCTTTTTCACTCTCTAAAGGATAACTGGGAAGTAATATTGAAAATGTATAACTTTCTTATTAAATCTTAACACATCATCTGCTGTTTAAGGTGAGGCATACCCGTACCTTCACTATGTAGTATGTGAGGTTCTTGTTGAGGATAGTCAATTTGATATAAGAGTGAATGATGGTGGTGGTATGTATGCCTTACTGCATTTTTTTTAAGTGTTTATATGCATATTAAAGATGCATTTCAGATAACTATTACTTTTCATCCTAGGCACTGTTGCTCTCTTCATCAATTGTTGCTACTGAAGCCCAATACACTTGGCATTATTATTATTGCAGGATTGAGATTGATACCAAACTCGCTGTAGTTGGTAACCAGAAATGGGTTGTATGGATATGTTCCTTCAATGTCCCCATGGCACCTGGTAAGACTCGCTCCATAGTTTGCAGTGCTCGAAACTTCTTCCAGTTCACAGTGCCAGGGCCTGCCTGGTGGCAAGTAAGATTTCTATGACCTATGCTGTCATTTTTGTTCTGTTTAATTAAAAATAAATGTTCCAGTTCGCTTAAATTCAATGATCTTTTACTAGTTTATCTGGAGAACATGTTCTGCCCTGATGTTTTTGTTGTAGCAAATTCTAAATCATCGAGGAAAGGTGAAAGAATTTGTCTATTTTGAAGTATGCCTGAACTAAGAACACTATTGAACATTTCTTTGTTAGGCAAAAGGTTCCAGTGTCTGAAAAAACACCCTAAGCTTTCCTCTTAGGACCCACAATATTATTACATGCTTCAGATACATTAGAAGTTGACATAACAATGTTGGTTTATTGTGACAACTGAGATTGATCTCAATAGTGTGGGAAATGGTTTACTTTTTCTTACCTCTGAAATTGTGCCAAAGGTGAACAGTAGAAGATGAATAATTTTACTTTTTATGTTGACACGGAAAATGTTGAGAATTTAAAATCATTGTGACTTTAATACATTAGCTAGTATCATTCCTTTTTACAAAACCAATAGTATATATTTTTTTATATCATGTCATTTGTGAGTGAAGTATTCATTGGAATATTTCTGAACACAATACTCTGACTTACCCTACCATGTTGTTTCTGTATCTCTATAGTTCTCTTCTGAGTAATCATGGTTTCTGCATTCAATTTCATGAATGCTTAATGTAACTTAGGTCTGAGTTTTGGCTTTACAATGTCTCAGGTAGTTCCTAGATGGTATGAGCATTGGACTTCGAACAAGGTATATGATGGGGACATGATAGTCCTTCAAGGGCAAGAGAAAATCTTCCTTTCACAAACGAAGGAAGGAGGCGACATTAACAAACAGTACACCAGCATCACCTTCACACCAACACAGGCAGATCGCTTTGTCTTGGCATTTCGAGAATGGCTGAGGCGACAAGGCAATGGCCAACCAGAATGGTTTGCCAACATCAGCAACCTGCCATTGCCATCAACAGTTTTATCCAAACGTGAGGTACAATAAACATGATCCAAGATTTTCAGTTTCAACAATGAGAAATGTTAAGAAAACACTATTACAACACTCATTTTAACACTCCTATAAAATTCACTACAACTACAAAATCAGGAATAAGACCTGCATTCAGTGTGTTGTTAATCACACAGACTAAATGAATCATTTTCTTTTTGGTTGTGCAGATGTTGGATAGATTTGAACAGCATACTCTGAAGTGTTCATCATGTAAAGGAGCTTATGAGGGATTCCAAATATGGCAGAAAGTCCTAATTGGTGCAACGGTTATGTTTTGTGCAACATCAGGGATTCCAGCAGATGTCCATTTTCGTGTTCTTTTGGCAGGACTTGCAATTGTCAGCGCTGCCTTAGCTTTTACCCTAAACCAGCTCCAAAAGAATTTTGAATTTGTCGATTACGTGCATGCAGAAATCGAATAAACACTGATGTCCACGTTAATTGTAAATAGAGCTGAAGAAAGATTACATGTATTCATACTATTTTGATGAAGGAGCTAAAATCTACACAACCTTGGTTTACCCTGTTTATATCCGGATCTTGAGCGTGGTCTTGTGAATAGGTAACAAGATCTTAACTTGGATATACTGGACTTATGTCACTTATAGTAATTATTGGTTCAGCTTTTCAAGCTTTACTTGGATATACTGGACTTATGTCACTTATAGTAAAGTATGATTTTGAGATTTTCTTTACTGGGTTGCTTTTATTTGATTTTACATATACACAATTAAACTTTTTACCAAACTGAATAATTGTGCATTAATGCAAGTGGTGTGCTAAAAGTTGAGAAATTCACGTTACCCGAATCGTAAAAGTTGCAGTGGAATTTAGACAAAAGTATAGTTATGGAGGATCAAAAATATTATCGCATAAGATTTCATTTCTTAGTTTTTTTTTTTAATTATGTTTAAGGGTGACAAATCAATTCATTTATCCATCCAATTCATTCATAGGTAAATTCAATCAATACAATATACAATATGAAAATAAAAAAAATGGATGGATCCATTTAATTTTATGAATGGCTAATGATTCATCTATTATTTTTCAAAATATAATGGACCATTTATACTCAATTTATTGTGAACTATATCAATGGGACATCCACCCATTCCCTTTAATGAAAACAAATGCATTATTGATCATGAATAACATAAGTCATTTTGAAAAACAATTCATTGAGTTCATTGAGTTGAGTATGAGTAGTTAGATCAATCACCCCTTAAAACTTTTAATTTTATGAATATTTCTGAAATAAAATTAAAATCGTGACATTATTATTAATTAAAACTAGGATTAAATATGTTTTTAATTTCTAAACTATCACGCGATTTTGTGTTTAGTCCCTCTTTTAAACTAAGGTACTTTTTGGTCCTTCACCTTTAGGAAACCATAAATTTTCGTCCTCAAAAACCAACGACGTTAAAAAGAAGCTGAGCTGGCTAACAGGGAGTGCCACATCATTTTTTTTCTGACACTGAGTCAATCTGTCTCTGACCGTACGGAAATGACCGAACGTTATTGTTAATGGCCGAACGGTATTGGTAATGACCGAATGTTTATGATGACTGAATGACTGAACGATATTGGTGGTGACCGAACGGTATTGGTACTGGTCAAATGGTTATGATGACTAAATGACCGAACAATATTGGTGGTGATCGAACGATATTGATGGTGGCCGAATGGTTATGATGACTGAATGATGATGGTGACCGAATGGTGATGGTGACCGAATGGTGATGGTGACCGAACGGTGAGGGTCAGATTGACTCAGTGTTAGAAAAAAGATGACATGACACTCCACCGTTAGCCAACTCAGCTTCTTTTTAACGCCATTGGTTTTTGAGGACGAAAAATTATGTTTTCCTAAAGGTGAAGTACCAAAAAGTACCTTAGTTTGAAAGAAGTACTAAAAACAAAATCGCTTAATAGTTTAGGGACTAAAAACATATTTAACCCTTAAAACTAACCACTTTAACTACTTTTGTTTGTCTGATATAATGAAATAAGTATTTGTTTCTTATATAAACCATTATTTGTGTGGATGAATTGGATATCCATTCATGAGAAAATTGCTAAGGAATGAATTAGATTTTTTTAAATAAATTAAAAATAAGTTAATAATTTAGTTTTATCTGATTTATCAAGTTTGTCACTCCTAATTATATTTAATGGGTTAAAAACATATAGAAGAAATTCCAATTGACCATATTACATATGGACTTCATACATGAATATTTATGACTGTATGAATGTTTTTAAAAGTGGGCCATTCATTGAATTGCTCATGACACTAGTTCAAGGTTCAATTGTTCACTCATAATCGAACCACTATTAACAAAGTAATATGTAAAATAGTATTAAAGAAATATAATATCACAACTTATAACACCAAAAATACAAAGAAAATATCATTCTATAGTTTAATAACATTCAAAAGTATAAAGTCGTACTTAGATTTAAGTTTTAACAAACACAAGTACACAACAATGTTCATTAACAAATAGCAGGTTTACGTGTAAAATAAAAAGGGAAATACAATTTTTTTTCTTTTGTTTTTCTCCCCACCTTTTAATGAAAAACTAAAATAAAAATAGCCTCAGATCAAGCATTTTCAATAACCCACTATAAATCAATCTTTCGGAGTTTTGACCAGTTTTTTTTTTTTTTATTTGACTGGTTATTAGTTATATGATTTAATTTAGACCAGACACTACACTGACATGCCAGGTTCCTCTGGGACTGGCAATTACATGGGCATTTGCTTTCTTGCTGACTGAAGCCGGAGCTTACAGCTACAAAGGGTGCGATATAAATATACCTGCCTCAAATATGGTTTCAGAGCATTGCAGAAAACATTTTTCAAGGATGAGGTGTTGTCGGGTTGATACATCTCAAGCATTGTTATCCTCTCCATGGTTTAGGTTTCCTTATCCATTACAATGGGGTACCCCTGTCTTCCATTGGAAAATGGCTCTTGTAATTGTTAATATAACCTCACGCACCAAAATATATTTTCTCTGTAAAATGTGTTACTTCATTGATTGAGATAAAGGCTATTAAATAGCCACGCGTCAAATAAAAAATTAAAGATTTAATTTCTCTTTAGGTTTTTATTTTCGTCCAGAATCTCAAATAGGTTTCTTTCTTTTTCGGCATCTCAATTGGATCCTTATTTTTGTAAAATTGAATCAAATAAAGGTTTTCCGTCAAATTGGACAAACGGTCGTTTAAGTTTGGGTTACCTGGCATGGTCAGTGTACTTATTAATCACACGTGGCATTAAAAACGAGTTTTGGCATGCTGACGTGGCATGCTGACACTCTAGTGGTCGGCCTGGTGATCGGTCACTCGGTTTGGTGGTCGGCCTGATGGTTGGCCACTCGGCCCGGTGGTCGGCCTGGTGGTCGGCTTGGTGGTCTGGTGGTCAGCCACTCAGCCTAGTGGTATTGGGACTGATCGAACAGAAACCGAACGGTCTTTAACACAAGTCGAACGATGTCAATGTCATCAATGTCTTGCTAGGAACAAACCGAACAGTCTTTTAAACAAGTCGAACGGTCATCAATGTCTTGTTAAGGAACAAGCCATCAGGGCGACCACCAGACTGAGTGGCCGACCACCAGGCCGACCACCATTCCTTCACAAGCCGAACGGTCATGAGTCATTCCTTCATAAGCCGAATGGTCATAAGCCATTCCTTCACAATCCGAACGGCCATGAGCACTTCCTTTACAGGCCGAACGGTCATATGCACCAGGCCGACCACCAGACCGAGTGGCCGACCACCAGGCTGTCAGCATGCCACGCCAGCATGTCAAGTTCCCTTACACATGTATAATGTCAGCATGCCACTTAACACCCTCCTTAACGGCGTTTGATAAATTTGACGGAAAGTCTTTATTTGATTCAATTTTACAAAAATAAGGACCCAATTGAGACGTCGAAAAAGAAATGGACCTATTTGAAATTCTGGGACAAAAATAAGGACCTAAAGTGACATTAAACCTAAATTAAAATCAGCCCCTAAACCGAAAAACTAAAATATCTCCCTAATAATAGGACTTTTAAAATAATAAATCTGCTACCTGGTTAATACTACAACCGAACCTAAACAAATAAAACCATTTTTTTAATTTAAGTTTATTTAACAAAACCCCCTCATAAACTTAAATTTTTTTCTTCTTCCATCCTGATCAACTTTCTTAATTCCTGAAATGACGCTATAGGTAATGGCTTTGTGAATATATCAACTATTTTCTTTTTGCTTTCAACGTGTTCAAGTTCCACGCTCCCTTCCTTCACCTTTTCCCAGATGAAATGAAAACGAACATCAATATGTTTGCTCTTCTCGTGATTGACTGGATTCTTTGCCAATTCAATTGCTGATCTATTATCTACTCGGATCAACACTTTTTCTTCTTGCATTATTTCCAAATTCTTCAACAGGTTTCTTAGCCAGATTGCGTGTCGTACACTCCAAGATGCTGCAACATATTCAGCCTCACACGTTGATAGTGTAACAATAGGTTGTTTCTTTGAAAGCCAAGTAAATGTTGTATCTCCCATAAAGAAGACATAGCCAGCTGTACTCTTTCGGACATCCACATCTCCGCACCAGTCACTATCTGAATACCTACTAAGTCGGTAATTATCTGACTTAGTATACCATAATTCGAAAGACATAGTTCCCTTTACATACCTTAATATCCACTTCAATGCTTTTCAATGAGAATATCTTGGCTCTTCCATAAAACGACTTGTGACTCCCACACTCAACATAAGGTCTGGCCTTGTGATTGTTAAGTACCTGAGACTCCCAATCAAGCTTTGATATCTACTTGCATCAACACAATCCCCTTCTCCATTTTTTGATAACTTAGTGCCAGGTTCCATTGGAGTAGAAACCGAATTGCACTTGATCATCTTTGCCTTTTTCAGTATATCTTCAACATACCTTTTCAGAGACACAAAAATCGCCGTTGAGCTTTGATTGACCTCTAGACCCAAAAAATATTTCATCATGCCTAGATCTTTCATTTCGAACTCCCTCTTCATCACTTCTTTAAATTCTTCAACCAACTCAGTTTTACTTCCCATGAAAATCAAATCATCTACATAGAGAGCAACAATCAACATACATGTTTTGTGCTTCTTTAGGTATAGAGCATGTTCATGCGGACATTGCTCATAACCATTCTTCTTGAAATATGTATCAAATCTTTCATTCCATGCTCGAGGAGCTTGCTTCAGACCATACAACGCCTTCTTCAGCTTTAACACCTTCTTTTCTTCACCCCTTCTCATGTAACCGAGAGGTTGCTCTACATATACCTCCTCTTCAAGAAAATCATTTAAAAATGTAGACTTCACGTCCATCTGCTTAATCTTCCATCCTTGTTGAGCGGCTAGTGAAAATAGTAGCCAGATTGTTTCCATCCTTGTCAGTGGAGCGAATACTTCAT